ACAGTCCTACCAGCTACTTTAGTTTTATGCCTCCTGTGGCTATGTGATGATTTATTCATGTGCATCAAAGCTTCAGTCTTGCAGTTGTGGGTGCCAAAATGGTGGGCTTGTAGTAGCTGTGGTGCCTACAAATTAAGTGAGACAAGGTTTGCAAGACAAGGCAGTGTACTTTAACAGAGGAGTGGGATATTGCAAGAGAGCAAACCAAACCAGACCACAAGCCCATTAAATTGTGCTTGGCTTTTGCTCTGTTCTGTAACTTCAGTGTCACCTCTCCTTTCTTTCATACCATCTTTGTTATTCATTTGGGGGGAGCCCATATTGGACCCGTATTAGTTGGCTACTATATGATCTCTAAGGTGATGCCTAATAGCAGTGGTAAAACTGAAAACAGGAATACATCCACATTACTTTCTTGTTTTAAGTGAAGTTAAAAGGCTACCTTGGTAAGCCTCTCTTTTTTTATTTTTTCTGTTTGTTTTTCTTTTTTTCTTTTTTGTCACTAGACTCAACTTGAGCAGCTGGCTCCTAGCCCTGGGATCATCTCTGCCACCCCTTCTTTTAGGCTGGCACAAGTACTGCTTGGCCTCTTGGTTGAGGCCTGGGGAATTGATAAGCTAGGACGTGGACAAACCTAGCAGAAGTGGGAACGGGAGGCTGCTGGTTTAGGCTGGCTTTTGCAGCACTGCTGCCAGATATCGAGCCACGAGCAAGGTCTAAGACTTGCCCTCCCTTCTTTTCAAAAAATCCTGCTTGTGGACCTGCTGCCAGGGAATTTAATTCAGGCCTCTAGAGCAGAGCCCTAGAGCAGCATTTGCACAGATGCCTGGTTTGCAATAGCAGGCTCAAACCACGCTATGAACACGGTGAGGCACAGCGCTGTATCTTGCTGTTCTTGCACCCGCTCTCACAACTGCACTGCCGAGGACTCTTTCACAATTCCTGCAGCCTGGCACAGGCTGCTGGATGTTTCTGGCTGCTGCGCACACCTCCGATGTTGCAGGCACACACAGAACATACCTCTTCCTTGGCGTGGGGGATTTTTTGAAGTATCTGGGGCTGTTCAGCTGAAAGGGAAATAGCATGAAACCTGCAAGTTATTCACAATGGGGAACAGCGGACCTGTGGCCATGTACGTTGTATAAGCCTGAAACTGCAGCTCCTGCTGGTGTTGGCTGGCTATGGGGAATGCATGGTCACAGGGTCCCCGTCTGCAGCGGCTCTGCTCATCACCCCACGCTGAGCGCTGACTGCACCAGCTCAACCTGTTCCACAGCCCTTTCTGCTGACTTGGGTCAGGCGCTGGGAGTGAACTAGTGTCTCAGCTCTCGTATTACCTTCATGGTGCTGTACTGTGGGGTGGGGAACGAGCACCTGATGATGCCTACTGGACCTGAAGAAATAGTGTGCCTTAGGAAGATGAAAGCTTGGGAAGAAACTCTCTACTCCCACATCCAACAGATACTTTAAAACTGTGTTCCACTTAGAGACTTAGCGAGCACCAGCCCTGACAGCTCATACGTCCCATTGCAAGCCCAACTACTATGCTGTAGAGCCGCACAGCAGAGTACTCCATGTCTTGCACAACTACCTACTTGCATTAATAGACCAGTTAAACCCTGATGGTGAGTCCAAGATTTGTCCTCAGGTAAGGTAACAGCAAACAAGGGGTGAAGCAAAGGTGACATCTCTTCCCTACCACGGACAGACGGTGCAATGCTAGCTCCTCCAAATGTCCTCTCCTCCCTGCCTCACGCATGGAGTAACAAAAGAGGAATGCATGCTGCTTCTCTCGCTCATTTTTAATGTGTTGAACATCTGAGATGCTAGGGAATGAAGGAAAAATTTTGCAGTATCTAGAATAACCGCAGAAGTTTCCAGGGCCTTGGAGCTGCTCATACAGCATCGTATGACACGTAAAAAAAGTCCTTAACGTTAGGAATGAGGAAAGGGGACTGTTGATTTTCATTCACAGGCAGGAATCCTAACCTGTGATCTCAAAGTGATGACAACCTGTGCAGATGCCCTTGTCATGACTTCAGGGCTTTGTCCAGTCCTGAAGTCCTGCCAGGGTCGTGAGCCCCTCCAAGGATGGAGACTGCATGGCCTCCCTGTGCAGCCTGTTCCCGTGCTTATTTCACTGTCCTCGGAGTCAAAACTCTGCAGTTGTACATGCCTTAAATCTTACAGTGATATTTTGGCTTCTTGGGCGAGGCATATAAAAGTGCGTAGGAGCTCAATAATCAGAAAGGCATCCAGTGGGTTGTCTAAGCAAGTCAAACTGACTTCCGTGGAAAGTCTGACCTGCTTGGAAATCCTGTTAGAGAGAGCAAGTTCTTTACATGCCTTGTCCCGGTCAGCTTCTGAGCGAGCAACTCAACAGAACTGAAAACTTTTCTGCGCTGTTCATACTGATTCGGAAAGGCAGCTACAAGTTGCACTGGGCAAGAGTTTACTTTTTTTTTTCCCCCTTGCCATAGTTGTAGAAAACAAGGAGGTACAGATGTGGGTTACTCAGAGAGCAAGCTCCCTCTATGGAGGTGCACCGCAGTTGCTGAACTGAATCACTGTTGTTACTGTTATGCACGGGAGCCTAACCCTCCTTAATGTCCTTCCTACCAGCCGCCACCTCCGGTTTTTCATCTCTCCTTGTCTTTCACTGCTATTCCAAAGTACTGCTAATACTGTTATGTCACATTGGTTCAGATGGATTTCTTGAGTTTGGCTGCCAGAAGTTGTTCTGTTCCCTCTTTTCTTGCCACATCACTTCACAAACTGATTAACTGTAATTCTTTTTCTTTAAAAAAAAAAAAAAAAGAGGCTGATGAGGCAGGTGTTGCACCCCAAAATCAGGCACACAATGAAAACAAATTAATTGACTTCCAGAAAAAATGTAACATGGAGTAGCATTCATGAAAAAAAACAACCCTCTAAATCATGGCTGGACAGAAAGCTAGGTCTCTCAATAGACTAACCAGCTGTGATGGGTTCTTACTTAAACAGGTAATATAACCCAGTCTTAAAATACCTATATTTGTTCAGGCTCAGACTACAATACGCTTTTATACACATAGTTTCAAACTGCCAAGCTTACTGATTCTGCTGTTAGGTGATATTTTGCCATTTGCCTGCAGAGTCTGAACAATGAAAAGTAATCTTGTTTGTACTCTGTGCTACTTTAAATATTCACATAAAATGGTGAGATGCCTTTATTTTATTTGGGATGTTTCAATCTGGGGAATATTCAGCTTGATAAAACAAAGAGGGGGCTGGTTCCAGACCTCTCAAGTTGGACACTCTGAAAGTCCAACTTTTATTTAAAAGAATGACTGTCTCTGAAATACTTCTCTCTTCAGCTGCCACCATGGCAGCATGTTAGCAAAGCCCTCTTCTTCTCCTCTCCCCAAAAAACTGAACAGGATTTCTACCAAAGTTCTGCTCTGGAGGTAAATTCTCAGTGCTTTTCTGCAGGCATCTGTGTTGTTAGGTGTTGGCAGCTATAAATGCAGAATAAGCTGACTGAGGCAGATCCTGCCTCTTTAGAACCTTCCCTGGGGATTACCAGCCATGCTTCAGGACATCTAAATATGATGTGTTGCTGTTTCTGAACTGCTTCAGTTTGCAATCCAGTTTGTTAAAAGACCCTGAAATTAGCAATGGTTTAATAAAGCTGGTGGCAAAAGGCTGTTATTCAAGAGGTTCTCTTTGAGCCAAAATGCCACGTAAACACAACCGTCATAGCTACAGGAAGAAGCATTCATAGTTTTGCTTCCTTGCTTTTTTTTTTAGCACACAATGACTGATACCCATAACTTTCACCTTCTGTTTGCCATGCTAAAATATTCCCGAGCACTGATTTTTTTTCTCTGTGGCATGCCTAGTCCGTTGAGATTTTGTGTGCCTTAAAGGGTTATGTAGACTTGGAAGGGAAAATCTGCTCCGATATTTGATGGCCTCCCTCTAGTGGCTGTTATTGGGGAATAAAAATAGGGCTGAGATGAAGTGAACCCCAAGGTTAAGTATGTGCATTAACCATTATACAAAGATGAAAGGAAGCAAATTGGGGACGAAGGCTTATGCCATATCAAAATATGACACAGAGTTACTGAGTTATTGCCAAAGCTCAGTTACTACTCTTTTAGTCCTGAAAATACGTATCTTGCTACTTCTTTCCCCACTTTCCATCTCTCCATGTCCTTACACATGATGACCTAAGGACACTGGTGGGCCCAAATATGTGTGTAGAGAGGTTTTTTTTTTTTTCCAGTTCTGTTAGTTGGCCAAGTAAGACAAATATGCAAGCCCCAGGTTTTCAGACATGGAGAAGGGCTCCTATGCCTGGAAGCCTATTTGATTTTTCTAACCACACCCATTGATCTAGTAAAAGATGCTGTTTTCTTTTACGAACCTTGTCCTGACAGATATTTAAAGAACAGGTAAGATCTGGGAAGTGCAGTGTCTTTATTCCATTTCCAGTACTTTTCCATCAGTTCTCTGCAGTAAACATCAGTATTTTTGACAAAACAGTATCTATATGTATAGCCAGCAGTCGTGTTCCCGCATTTAAGATCTTGCTGATTTTAACTCATTACCTTTTTGCTTACCAAATGTGCACACTTGTCTTTTGGACACGAGAAGTGCCAGGGATGCATGACTCTCTTTATATTTTTATAGAAAAAGATAGCAATGACAGTGCAGCAAGACAAAAGTTGGGGCTGGAAAACAGCCCATTAAAAATGGCAAAAGTGCAAAGCTCCTCCGGCTGCAAGAGGAGCTTTGCCCTGGTGTCTCTTTTTGGATCTCTCGTGCTTTGGCCTCCAGGTGTTAAGTGGAAGGTGAGATTTGCAGACAGTGTGAGACAGGCTGACCCAAGCTGCATCTAGAGAACATTCTAAATAAACCCACCTCATGAGCTGATGCTCTGGCACAGCAGAATTTAAGATTGCTGCTGCTATTCTCTTGTCCACTTTTATTGATATTTTAGCCTGGGGTTTTGCTAGCTAAAAATACCAGTTGGGTTCCACCTGAACCTCGCTCTGGGACAAGGTTCTCTGCCGATGTCTCAGCTCCAGGCACTCCACAGTCAGGGGGTATGTTTTAAGCTCAAACTTATTTGCAAACATACAGGTGGAGTTATAAAGCCACTTGAGGTCACCTGTTCCATATACACAAATGCCTCTGACATAATGGCCTGCCAAAAGAAAAAGAAAAAAAGCAATGTCAGAATCAAGGATCCAAATCATTCTTTTTGAGAAGTTTTATCTGCAAAGCCACTATAAATAATCTCCTACACAACAGACAAGCTGAAAGGCCTACTGGCCATGCAATGGGAATAAGTATGAAGAATGGGACGAAATGAAGGAAGTTACTTCAGAATAAATAATGAGCAAAATAAGGACATAGCTCAGAAAAGAAATGTTACTACTTCCGACTCTTTCTCAGACAAGGCTGAAACACAGCAAAGGGAGATTTCCTTCTGTCAGTTAAGAGAAACGGATACTCTTACTCACACTAGATTTTCCACTGACTAATTCTGGGTGATATTGGTGTAATTTCACTGATTTCAATGTAGTTATGCCGAGGTCAAACTGCTGTAATTGAAGCTCACTGAAGTTCTCAAAATTTGTCTCCTCAACACAAACAACTGTGTTATGGATTAAGAATTCTTGAAATAAAATTTGTATCATTAGCATTTTAGCATTCCCGTTCTCATCCCATGTGGGTATGTCAGAAGTAGTAGCAGTACACAATGTACAAACCAGTGACTAAAGAAATTAAGTGTGCCATACAGAAGATGATCTACTGCTAATGTCATGTCATGAAGTAATGTGACATAGGAAAACTCAAAGCTCAACCATCGCCGTCAGCCCGCAGCTCCTTAGGTTCCTCGTCAGCTGTGGGTTTGTCCAAGTTCACACAGGACATCTCTCTGATGAATTGCTGTCTAAAGACTGTCTCACATTATGATTAGAGGCTGTAGGAGTACAGGAATAACAGTTGAGTGTTTTTCACTATATGAACAGGAAGAAGAAATGGAGAAGAATGTACACATTACCATGACAACCTCCATGGCGCTCTTCCATATCAATCCACTTCACCGCTTTCAGGTCACCTTCCCATGATGCATTGGGCATGGAGCCCGGGACGCCTGCAATTAGGTAACAGAAAATAAAATAATTAGTCCTTTTAACAGCTATGTGTTCAGGTTTATGTCCACTCTGGAACCTTTCTCCACAGAACTGGAATGAAATACTTAGGAATATGCATCAACAGATGCTTGGCTGCTAACCTTGTTAAGTTTCTTCATTGAAAGCAGTTTTCATGGCATAAACAAGATGTTGGCCCAAGAGACCTAAACATTTCACTTGAGAAATAAAATCCCTCTTTTGCAACAGCCTCAGTATGATACTGCATATATGTATGATCACTCATGTCACCTTCCCAACCAGCACTGCCCTCCAAGGGCTATTTGAACACTGGGCCACCAACACCTAGTAACTTTACATGAATTTAGTGGTAAATACTTTCCCTTTTTTTTTTTTTTTTTTTTTTAGAAAAGGGCCTATCAGAAGAAATTCAGGCATGATATAACTGGATGGAGTCGTTGAAACTCAATTATAGCGTATAATGTTATATAATAATAATATATGTAAGTCTAGGCAGATCAAAAGACCTATCTAGGAGATAAACTGGTAAGAGGCCCTCTCCTTGTCAGTAGATGATCAGGTCCTGCTATCACCTGGCAAACATCCATTTTAAGCAATTAAGGGGAAAATATGGAACACACAGTGTTTGGTATTTACTGAAGAGTAAACTGGCAACATGTATGCAATGTGTGGGCAACTGCTGTGAGTCAAGGGAATCTTCAGCACAAGGCAGTAACTATAACAGACCATCGCCATGGGGTGAAGTCTTTGCCTTTGAAAGTAAGAGATGATCAGGTAGGTACGGCTAGGGAAACCTCCATACCTGATCTGTACTGCAGTATCCTGTTCAATTCAGTGAAAGAAGTTTATTGAAGTACTTCCTAAAACTGTCTGCAGAATACAGGAGGGAAAAAAAAAAAGCCAAGGTATAAAATCATAAAAGCTTTTTATGAACTCATCCCTTTCAACAAATTTTATCTTTCTTATTGGCTCAGTCAGTTGTTGAAGAACAAAACAATGATATGGACTGTGTAACTGCCACCCAATATACAAACCACTTCACCAAGAAAAGCTGGAAAAGCCCCAGTTTCTCACTGTAGCACGAACACTTATATATAATTGTTGTGGTTTAACCCCAGCCAGCAACTAAACACCGTGCAGCCGCTCGCTCACTCCCCCTACCCCGATGGGATGGGGGAGAAAATCGGAGTAGTAAGAGTGAGAAAACTGCTGGGTTGAGATAAGAACAATTTAATAATTGAAATGAAAGAAAGTAAAATAGTAGTAGTAATAATAACAATATAATAATAATAGTAGTAA